TATTCAATATTAGAAGACAGTTATTAAAATTGTATTTTCAAAGAATGTTTTATGAAATGGTAAGTGAAATGTCATAATATGAGGTTTGGTGAAAAAAATAAATGCCAAATTATATATAGAATGTGATTCCAATTGTCAAATAAATATAGATATAAAAAATGGTAAATAAATTAACACTGATGATCTGTGAATTATATTGTATTTGTTTTGAATGTCACTCAGCAGGGCAAAGTTTTCACAGATGGCATTATGGTCTAACTTGTTTGTGTCTGGCACATAGTAGGTGTTCAAATAATGTTGGTTGAATAGTAAATGAGTTCAGAAGTTAATAGAAGGGTTCTATTCTCAGCATTGACTGAATGGAAATGAAAAACCACAAAAGGAGAGAAAGACCCTAGGAAAAAATGCAACAATTAGCAGGGAAGCATATACGGGAAATTGTGTTAATGCAAACTTTTTGTAAAATGTTTAATTTATAATAGGAGCAAATAAGAGGCAGGATTCTGCATAATGTGCTACTGATAACCCTTAACTGGTTGAGCGACTTGCACTCTCAATTTTAGGAACTGCCCTACGACGCTCTGCGGTACATGACCGGTGAATGCAATTATGGAGGCCGCGTGACGGACGACTGGGACCGGCGCACGCTGCGCAGCATTCTGAACAAATTCTACAGTACAGAATTAGTTGAAAACCCGGACTATAAATTCGACTCAAGTGGCATCTATTTTGTCCCTCCTTCGGGTGATGTAAGTATGCCCTTCAAGAAAACTAAAAGCAGCGAAACATGAAATTCCTCTGGTTGTGATGATACATTTTTTTAAATGGTGATTTTCCTCCAGGCCTTGTTTTTTGCTAACTCTGTCTTTGCTTTCTTCGGTCATACGGGGATAGAGCAAACCCCATGCATAGGTGGAGGCAGTGGTTTCCTATTTGCTTTAACGTAAGGAGTATCAGAAACGTTCCTCGCCCAAGAATGGCTTCCTCAGTCACCTGAAATTCTGTCATCATAATTAAGTCCTTTGGGTAAAAAAGACATTGTCCCCAATTAAAATGAAGAGACACATGACAGGGGTTACAAAATATCATTAACAGTAATTGTTTATATTACAATTATTTACAAATCAGTTACAAGTAATTATCTTAGTAGAGTGTCAAATTAACATTGGTATTGCTATTTTATCCCTTTTACAAATGAGAAAACAGATCCACTAAGGTAGAATAACTTGCCCAAGGCCATTCAGATAGGAGTTGGCAGAGAATCCCAGAACCACCTGCAGAGCACAAGGCCAGAGTCCCTTCTGCTCTTCTCCAATCCTTCCCCTGCCTCCTGATTATCTCCTAGTAGATTTCTAGGGATTGCTAGGACAATTGAGTTGGTTCTCATTTTGTTCCCAAAAGTCAAAGGGCTTATACTGAAAGTTAGACACATTATCACATCCAACAGAGACACATGCTATAACCCCCAACCGTATCCCCATCCACTAGGGTTAATGTTGGCTGAGGACAGATACTAGTATGGATGAAGGGAAAAATCAGTCCCAGAGCCTAGGTCGCTGATGGGGTGGAGTAAGTCAGCATGGGAGTTGGGATAACAAGCTCTCCAAAGATGAATTGTCAACTGAGAAAAAAGTAAGATGAAATAAGGTATGTAAAAGGACCGACATAGTAAAACCATTGATGACCAGACCCCCTTTGCCACATGTGTAGATGGTTGTTTGCATATGAGTGTATGAGCAAGACAGTTACGGAATTTGATAGTATTTCATGTAAATAAAATACGAAATGTGTGTGTGCATAAAATTATGTATAATGTTAATGGTAATCATCTCAGGATAATACAATTTCAGATAATTTTTACTTTTCTGAATCGGGTAGATTTTTCACAGTAAGAGTAAACAAGAATAATCAGAGTAAATGAGAGAAAAGTATTTATTTGTATTGTGATGAATTACGAATCATTATCAGCAAAATATGACACAGAAAGACTTCTCTGGAAGAAATGTCTAAATGAAGTTACCAGAATTCCCCTCCCTCCCCCCATTTAAAAAGCTATTCAAATTGAATGGTACATTTTCTTTTTCTCTCAAAATACATCCATATTTTTTGAAACTTTGGCCCAGGCTGAAAGAAGATGAAAGCATTCAGTATCCAGTCTCACAGGCTCATCCACTCAATAACTTGAGTATTGAAAATTACCTCTTTTCTGTGAGAAGTTCTTCAATGTAATTGATTTCTAACCTCCTGACTTCTTGTTATTCATCTTTGCAGCACAAAAGCTACATCGAATACACAAAGACTCTGCCACTGACCCCAGCACCAGAAATCTTTGGGATGAATGCCAATGCAGATATCACTAAAGATCAGTCAGAAACTCAACTGCTATTTGACAACATTCTTCTTACGCAGGTGTGTAGTCTGTTCAGGAGCCTCTGAGTGATGCTCCCTAAGCCTCATGTGCCAGCACGCTAGAGCCTTCCTTATACAATCCTGTTAAAGTGGAGAAGCATTTAAAGGAAAAGACAAAAATGCATGCATACCTTAAATACAGATTTAAACACAAAGTACGTGATCGTATGGGGGTTTTTTACATCAATTTTTTTGTTTGGAACCAAGACCTACTACACCTATTCTTCGAGTATCATTCTGTATCTAGGAGTTCCGCTTCGCCTTTCTTGCATAAACCGTGCCCTAATACATTATATATTATGCCCCTTTTTAATTTCTTTAAAGTGGAAGAAGAATTTCAAAGACGCTTGGGAAACAGTTTGATGAGAGAATCCATCTAGAATTTTACCTATTTTATTTTTCCATTCCCTTACTAATTCAACAGCAAATTTTAAAAATGACTCATCTTTATAAAATATTCCAAAACATTTAACCTAGTTTACATAGAAACAGTTCCTTTCACACTAATATATTTATCAAATTACATAATATTTAAAGTATACAGCTACAATGGCAATATAAAATGAACAAAAAGATTTAGGAGAAGAATACAGCCGATTCTTGGTAGACATGCAGCTCTACTGGTGAGTGCATAGGAGCATTGGCATGTAGGAAAGGAATCTTCTAAGACACCAGAATTTAGCATACCATGGGCACAAGTCAATACATTTGAATGAAAAACATTCATTAATCTTGTTTGTCTATTAAGAAATCTGTGTTATTCTCCCTTTAAAAGATGTGCTCAGTTATTTATTTGGTTTTCAAAAAACATTTTGAAAGAAAATTAGTCCAAATAGCAAGAGTTCCCATAGTGAGTGATTAAATGAAATTTTAATAAATTAAGGATGAATAATCAGTCAAGCAAATTATCCTGAATTCTAAGTGATCTTTTGATTTTCATGGAATCTCAGAGTAAAAATATTAATAGTTAATACTTACATGGTGCTTACTGCATGCTAGCGCTGTTCTAAGTGCTTTACGTATAACAATGTAATGCTTATGACAATCCTATTAGATAGGGCTACTGTTATTCCCATTTTGCAGCTAGAAAGCTGAAGCACAGAAAGCTCAAGCGGTTTGCCCCAAATCAGCTGTATGATTTCAAGCCAGGACTCAAAGCCAAGCAATCTGGCTCCTGCTAGTTTGTCTCTAGAATCTGTGTTACAAACTGCAATGCTGTAGTCCCTTTCTAGATTCTAAAAATGGGTTACGACCTAGAAGATGGATATCCAGAGATGCTGAAAAAGCTAAAACTTAGGAGAATAATGTGGTGTGCTACCATTGATGGAAGAGCCCATGGAACTCTCATCTCTGATCTACTCTATGAGGACATTTTCTAATAAGGCAAAAAAGAGACAACTATTTTTATGTCCATTTTACATGTTGATATCACTAAAATCAGTTATTGCTTGGGCACAAAAGTATATGTACAAACATAAATGAATAGATTTTTTTAGGAACATTAGATATGTGTAATACACAACAGTCTGACAACGGGACATTTGTCTTTTGACTTTATTTAAACTTGATGGGGTGTGCCACATTACAGAATACATAAAACAGTGGGCTCATTCCAACAGAAAATGACTCAGAACCAAACAAATAAGTTTAAATACACAAGGGGTATCTTTTCAGTGTGTAATTAAACAACCTCTTTTAATATCCTCAATCTCCGATTGGCAAGTACAATTATAGTAATGGGTAAGCAGTAGTTCAGTGATTCTAGATTGGGTTTATTACAATTCAGAGGCAGAGATCGGAGCTACAGAGCTGAGAGCAAGTTAACGGTGACAAGACTTAACATTATGTATTTAACTAATTTATCTTAGAAAAAATAAAGGAGGGGGGCCATTGGAGTTGAAAATGCTGCTTTTGCAGAGTTCCTTTGCTTATGCTTAACTCCCACACTTTATTTTGAGTAGGAAAATTGTTTCCACTTAAAATATTATAAAAGTGGATATGGTCTAAGATTTCTGAAAAGGTTAAACTCCGTAATGTTTCCTTGAAAATGAATTCCACTATCTTATTTGTTTAATAAAAAGAAAATAACCCTTAGAAGATTCCAAATGCTATTTGTGAAAACTCTAAGGAAAAGTGGTAAAAAGGAAAGAGCTAAGATAAATAATTACAAATGAGTAGCAACCCAGTTGCTCTCAAGTCTCAATGTCAGTTGGATATTACTTTAGAAGAACCTATCACTCCAATTTTGGTGTGCAAGAAATAGGTAAGGGGAATGTTTGTGTTACTAAAATATTTTTCTTACATTTTTTGAAGGACTATAGGCCTGGGATTTGTTTTTCTGTAGGAGCACAGCTCTTGTTAGAAAATAGAAATATTTTTAATGAGTTTATAGTATCTTGTACGTGCATGAAAATACAAACAGAAATCAGCACATGATTCTTCATATGCAATGGAAATAGATATTTCACTAGTTTGGGCCAAATATTCACACTCTGTTTTGTTCTCTATGAATTGTTTTATATATTTAGTTGTAAACTCAGTACTTTGGGATCATAATAAGGGATTATTATATGAGCATACCTCTTTTTTATTGACACATAATTAAAATTTACCAATACTTAATTATTTTATTGTATAACTTTATAAGACAATATGGTGGTATGTGGTAGGTAGCATTAAAAAATCATGGTAGAACTTAGGTAAAATAGTTAATATTTATAGACTAGATTTATGGAATATTCAATATTTACAATATTGAAACCAGTAAATAAAATTTAAGAGAAGATAAAACACAATTTCCTTGGACTGGAAAAACATGAGATATATTCATTTATATTCTAATAGTGCTTGTTCTCTCTCAGCAAACACATACATACACACATGCATACACACATTCATTTGTTCTGAGGATTTAAAGGGTTTTTCCAGAAAATATAGATTCATTTACACAGTGCCACTATAAATATAAGAACAAAAATTGAAATTCTCCTTTCTTGCTTCCAATGTGAATCACTAGTTTGTCTTTTCTCCGTAACTCTTCCAACTGCTTAGAGGAGATGAGCTTATTTTCTCTGCCCTCCTGGTTCAAGGGGAAAACTATATCTCTGCTTTTGGCAACCAGGAGGGCCCAGAGTTATTAGCAGATATATTTTGTGGCTGCTTTCTCAAAGCGAGATGAGATTTCCTCCTTCTGGGGTTTAATGCCCATCATCACTTGGCCCCTCCACTAATGTAAACACTCTTTCTCCCTCTCTCTGCAGCATCTTGTCCTCCCCCTGCACCCAGGCAGCAAAATGTACAGCTTATTTGCTTTCTCCAGACCCTCTTTTGCCTCCGAACATGTTTACATGCCCCTCCTCCTCTCCAACAATTGTTTTCCCTTGAAAAATCCATCCCCATGCCTGTTATCATCACTTTAATAAATCTTGTGTGGAAAAGGATCATGGATAAAACAGCAGAACCAGTGTTCTTTCTTATAAAGATTTACCTTAGGATTTTTCTTATTCAGCTATTCTTAGACTTTTATGAGGATTTTTAGTTATAGGTTGGATTCTTCCTAGTCTCGTTCAGCAGGTGCTGGTGCAAAATCATCAGATGAAGTAGTAAATGAGGTCGCTGGTGACATCCTGGGCAAACTTCCAAATAACTTTGACATTGAAGCTGCCATGAGGAGATACCCAACAACTTACACTCAGAGCATGAACACGGTACTTGTCCAAGAGATGGGACGGTTCAATAAGTTGTTGCAGACCATGAGAGATTCGTGCATTAATATTCAAAAAGCAATCAAGGTAAGGTGAAACATATCCAAAAATGATTGAATTATTCATAGCATTCATTTATTTAGCAAATATTTATTGGGCCCAGATACTGTTTAAGCACTGTTCTTGGTTCTGAGGATAGAAAAGAGAGAAAATAATGCCTGCCCTGGAGAAGTTTATAGAATGACAGTTAATAAATGGATAAATTAGTATAGAGTATGCTATGTAGTGACAGCGTGCCGGATAGGATACATGCTAAGGAGACACGGCATGGTAAGGGCTAAGAAAGACAAAAGCCTCTGCCCTCACAGAGCTCACGTGTTAGTGAGGGAGACAGACAATTTAAAAATTAACAAATATCATACATATATAATTTTAGTAAGTGATAAGTTCTATGAAAAAAATAAAACAAGAGAAGGGGGTAGAGAATGATGGGTGAGAAGCTCTCTTAGTTAGGTTGGGTCAGGCCCCTTTGAGGAGCTGACCCTTGACAGAAGCCAAAGTGGTGTTAAGGGGCAAGTCGTGGGACATTTGAGGGAAGAGCATGTCAGGCAGAGGGTGTAACAAGTGTAAAGCCAAGGGAACAAGAAGTTTGGCCTGGTCCAGGGACACCAAAATGAAGGCTGGCGTGGCTAGAGTGGAGTGAGCATGAGGCGGACCATAGGACCAGAGAGAAGAAGCCAGAGGCCAAATCACAATGGCGTTGTCAGGATGGTTAGGATCTTCAATTTTATTTTAAAGTATACAGGTAAAGGGATGCCTTCAGAGTGTTTTAAGCAATGAAGTGAAATGATCTGTTTTACGCTTTTAAAGGTTTACTCTAACCACCGCAGAAAGGGTTGACTGTAGGGGAACAGGAGTGCAGACAGAGACCAATTACATGATTGAAGAAGTCCAGCTTAGTTGATCTTTTGTAGTATCGTTGGAGGTAGAAAGAGGTGGTTGCTTATGAGTTATTACTGAAAGAGGAGTCTGTTAGGCTGGCTGAACATTGATGTGGGTGTGAGCAAGAGAGAGGTTGAGGATAACTCCTAAATGTTTGGCCTAAAAGCAAGTGGAAGGTATGGGGAAGGAGCAGGTTTGAGAGAGAAAATCAAGAATTTTGTCTTGGTCATATTCATTTCAAAATGCCTGATAGACTCAATGGAGAGGTTGAGTTGCTGTTAGATACATGCTTTAGTGTTCAAGAGGGAAGTCAAGGCCAGAGATAAATTTCAGAGTCTGCAACATATTGATTATATTTAGAAATAAAATTTATAAATTATCTCAAATATTTTGGTAGCACTGATGATCATTGATTACTTTGTAGCATCAATTTCATCCACCCAACCACCCAACTCATATGACCTACGTATAATCTCATAATATCCTTTTATCATTCTCCTCATATTTCTCTAATTTGGGGAAGAAAATGTTTCAAATTTGAAAAACCTGGCTGGAGATGACATCTGTAAACAATGTAGCAATGTAAGGCCATACATCAGACTCATTTCTTTTCTAAATTTCTCAGTGAAATGACTAATCTAAGTGGGAAAATTCTATGTCACATTTTCTGATATAATGCTAAAACCAGATGCATTTAAAAAAATTATGACCATAAAAATGATAATGTTTGATATACAAACAATAACCATTTGCCAAATATATAGGACGAAACCTATTTCTTATAGTTACATAAATGGTAAATCACTACAATAAATTTAGCAAATGAACATGTTGAACCTATATATTAGGTCATTAATATGAAAGGTCTAATTTCAAATCAAAAGTGTAGTTTATTATATCTCAAACAAGAAGCAGTACAATTAATCAAAGTATGTGCCTAAACTATCAACATAGTTTTGCTGTCTTAACGGTAGCTTGTTTATGCCAGCAATGAAGAATCCTGGAGAGCCAGTGGTGATGAAATTGTGAACGGCCTTTTCCGCATCTTGTTGAGAATTGAATATTTTTCCTTGCAAAGAAGTGTTCCAAAGCCTGGAGGAAGTGGTAGTCAGTTGGTGCAAGGTCTGGTGAATATGGTGGATGACAGAGAGTTTCCAAGTCTGGCCTCTGTAGTTTGAGCAGCGTTCTTTGTGTAACATGTGGTCCAGCATTGTCTTGCAAAAGGATTGGCCTGTCTCTATTGACCAATCTTGGCTGCTTAATCACAAGCATCCTTATCATTTCGTCCAATTGGTTGTAGGAGACATCCACTGTAATGGGTTGACCAAGTTTCATGAAGCTATAATAGATAACACTGGCACTGGACCACCAAACAGACACCATTAGCCTTTTTTGATGAATATTTGGCTTTGGACTGTTTTGGCACTTCATCTTTATCCAACCATTGTGCTGAATGCTTACAATTGTCAAAAAGAATCAATTTTTCGTAACACGTAACAATACAGTGTAGAAATGGTTTGCCTTTATGTCATGACAGCAAAGAAAGGCAAGCTTTGAGACAATTTCTCTTCTGATGCTTGTTTAATTCATGTGGTACCCATCTATCCAACTTCTTTACCTTGCTGATTTGTTTCAAATGGTCCAATATTGTTGGAATAGTAATGTCAAACCTTGCTGCTAATTCATACATAGGTTGAGACGGATTGGCTTCCACTATAGCTTTTAGCTCATCATTATCCACCTTGGTGTCAGGTTGCCCACATGGCTGATTTTCAAGATTAAAATCTCCAGAGCAGAACTTCTGGAACCATCAATGTGGCTAATGTTCATTAGCCACATCCTTCCCAAATACTTCACTGATATTTCCAGCTGTCTGTGCAGCATTGGTTCCACAATGGAACTCATATCAAAAATAACATGTAATTTTTGGCTTATCCATGGTTACACAAAAATTGCTATAAAAAATTTTTGAACGATAATCACAAGCCAAAAACCATGCATTTGAAAGAATGAGGATGTACCTCCACAATAAAAATAAAACAAGAAGTGTCAAAGTGAAAATGTCAGAGATATCAACTGTCAAATTTAGTACTTAAGGAAATCAGACATTTCATACTTAATAGCTTAAAAAAATCAAAGCTCTACTAAGAAACTTAAAAGAAAATATAGATAAATAAAAATACATATCTTATTCTTAGATTACCACAAATTCAATAATTTAAAAATGCCAATTAAAGACATAATAGAAGTGACAAAGAAAAAAAGAGAAGTAACCAAAAACCAATATCAATAATGGAAAGGAGGTCATCACAATAAATGGTATAGTGTAAGAGATCTGAGCATAATATCTTGAAAACTTTATGCTAGTAAATTTAAAAATGTAAATGAAATGGATAAATTCTTGAGAAAACATATGTTACCAAATCAACATAAGAAGAAATAGAAAATCTAAATAGTCTTTTTTGTGCTCAAAAATTAAATGCACAGGCCCGGTGTGGTGGCTCACGCCTGTAATCCTAGCACTCTGGGAGGCCGAAGCGGGTGGATCGTTTGAGCTCAGGAGTTCGAGACCAGCCTGAGCAAGAGTGCAACCTCGTCTCTACTAAAAAATAGAGAGAAATTAGCTGGACAACTAAAAATATATAGAAAAAATTTGCCGGGCATGGTGGCACATGCCTGTAGTCCCAGCTACAGGAGGCTGAGGCAATAGGATTGTTTGAGCCCATGAATTTGAGGTTGCTGTGAGCTAGGCTGATGCCACAGCACTCTAGCCCGGGCAACAGAGTGAGACTCTGTCTCAAAAAAAAAAAAAAATTAAATACACAATTGAAAAACTTTTATCTCATGTTAGAAGCCTTCCTCTGGTGTCTGATAATTTTTTGTTGTCTGCTTACATTTAATAATGGGGCATTATCATGTTGAGCGGAGACTATTAAGAACACTAGTGATTGCTAACTGTGATCTTCACTGCAGTGTAATCTGGCTGGGCCATTTGGTTAAGAAATATTCAACATCATTATGTATTTCTTTTTGACTTGATTTTCCTTTCTCTTTCCTGGAAGATAAAGGGCTGGCTCTAGCATTCCGGGAGCTAAAAGGGAAAAGAGGCCTCAGAGATCTCAGTACCTAATATCCGTACATTGATTTAACCCCTCTGATTTCAGTATAATAACTATAGTCACTCTGACCCCATGGGGCCTGGCATTTCCCATTCTAGAGATTTTTGCATTTTCCTTTGCAGGTTACATTCAAGGTAGGCAACATGCAGTTTGGAGGAGAAGACCTAGGAATCTGTTTTTTAAACCAGCTTTCAACAATCCTTTTCATTTAACACATTTAACACCACCCTCGTCTCCTCATTTTCAGAAGCATAATATCTAGGGGCTTGAATTCACAGGATTTTGGCATTCCGCAATGTATATCTGGTTGATTCTTAGCTTTCCCCTTCTGCCAATTTAGGGTCAGGTTTCTCCTGACCACTAAGTCACCTACCAGCAGCCTGTATGCTTTCTGCCTCCCAAAATTGTGTTGTCATTGTCCCTTTCCCTATTTTTTTTTTTTTTTTTTGCATTCGTGGGCTTATACATTTAAAACATAAATTCTTTTACTGTTAATTTACTGGGATTTTGAGAAGGAGGCAGATTGGGCGTGGGGGCTCACGCCTGTAATCCTAGCACTCTGGGAGGCCGAGGTGGGAGGATCGCTCAAGGTCAGGAGTTCGAGACCAGCCTGAGCAAGAGCGAGACCCTGTCTCTACTAAAAAGTAGAAAGAAATTAGCTGGACAACTAAAAATATATAGAAAAAATTGGCTGGGCATGGTGGCGCATGCCCGTAGTCCCAGCTACTCGGGAGGCTGAGGCAGGAGCATCGCTTGAGCCCAGGAGTTTGAGGTTGCTGTGAGCTAGGCTGATGCCACAGCACTCTAGCCTGGGCAACAGAGCGAGACTCTGACTCAAAAAAAAAAAAAAAGAGAAGGAGGCAAATGAAATGCGTAATCAAATTTACTCCAAAATCTTCTCCATATGTCAGTTGGAATAATATTTTCAACTATGAGAAAAACAGAAATGACAGTAACAATTGGCCCAATTGAAAGATCAGATAGGCAGGAATTTTCAAGGGCCTCAAAGTTTTAACACCTGTGCGTCAATGATTCAAAATGGGAAAAGGTGAACTAGACTTCACAATTGAATTCTAGGATATTTTAACTTTTCAAAGTATTTCATATAATTTTTCTAATTCCATATTTATCATCATCTTTCTAAGAAGGCAGGAAAACCAGCCTAGACAACATAGCAAGACCCTGTCTCTACAAAATACAGAAAAATTAGCTGGGCATAGTGGCATGTGCATGTAGTCCCAGCTACTCAGGAGGTTGAGGCAGGAGGATGGCTTGAGCCCAGGAGTTTGAGCTTGCAGTGAGCAATGATGAGGCCACTGCACTCTAGCCTAGTGACGGAGCAGGACCTTGTCTCAAAAAAAAAAAAAAAACGATGGAGATATATTACTTGTCCATTTAATAGAAAAGTAAACTAAGTCGAAGTTAGACTCTGATTTAATAGCTAGTGAGTAGTCAAGTATTGATTAAAAAGATTTTCTGTTAAAATTTGGTTAGATTAAAACTGTTAATGTTTTAGTTCAAAGACTCCATGACTTTCTTGTGAGCAAAAGCAAATATCTTTCTCTGTTTTTTCTATATTATTCAACCTTAATTAATTGCAATCGTAAACAAAGGATAATTAAGAAGGCATTTATAAAAGGGGGTTGTTCATAATCTATACTATCATTTTAACCAAGGTTAAATGTGTTTCCAGGGGCTTGTAGTGATGTCTACAGATCTTGAAGAAGTGGTTAGAAGCATTTTGAATGTCAAAATTCCAGGAATGTGGATGGGTAAATCCTACCCAAGTCTGAAACCACTTGGCAGCTACGTGAATGACTTCCTTGCAAGACTAAAATTCTTGCAGGTAAGTTCATCCAAATGATCTTAAATTGTTAAGTTTCTTCTAGTTTTATTTTCTTCATTAGAATGCCTATGTAATGAGTATTACTCTCTAATTTTTCTGTGCATCCCAGGTACAAGTGGCTATCACTTAATATTTCATATAGTGTATATAACTGTTACATTGACCTGTCAACATACTATTATAGTATTGGAAGTAGAATCTCTGAAAGCTTCTTTCAGGGTAGGTATTCATGTTCAGTAAAGCCAGCGATTCAAGTCAGTGACATTTGAAGGGAGAAAACATCTAGCTATGTTGATTTTTCCATGAAATATTTACTATTAAAATAGATCCCTATGGCAAACATCTCAGAAAGCCAGTCAAGCGATGAATTCTAGTGAGGAGTGTTATTTCTTCATTGCCCAGCACTTTTCTAGGTCATGAAATCACTAGATTGCTGGGTCAGCCTAAGTCAGTAATGACCTCAATGTCTAATTGTCTTGGAAGTGTTGAGTGGGCAGAAGCGTATCTCCTAATTATCTGGTAATATTCGTGCTTAACTTTGTCCTTATTAACAATTATATCCATTAGAAGTATCGATTAATTTCCTAGATACTATACATAATGCATCAAAAACTATCTGTGAGGAAATCTTTGCAGGTATAAAATGACTAAACTCGGCCTGGGCGCGGTGGCTCACGCCTGTAATCCTAGCTCTCTGGGAGGCCGAGGCGGGCGGATTGTTTGAGCTCAGGAGTTCGAAACCAGCCTGAGCAAGAGCGAGACCCCCCTCTACAAAAAAAATAGAAAGAAATTAATTGGACAACTAAAAATACATAGAAAAAAAAAAATTAGCCGGGCATGGTGGCGCATGCCTGTAGTCCCAGCTACTCGGGAGGCTGAGGCAGGAGGATTGCTTGAGCCCAGGAGTTTGAGGTTGCTGTGAGCTAGGATGACGCCACGGCACTCTAGCCCGGGCAACACAGTGAGACTCTGTCTCAAAAAAAAAAAAATGACTAAGCTCCCTTTTCATAATATAGGCCTTCTGTTGTACGAGAGTTAATAATAAGGAATTAAGATTGTTGTTGAAAGATGAGGTCCTACCTTGGACTCTTACAGGGAAAAGCTTTCAAATTCATTTCTTCAGACCGACTTCTGTAATTTACTATTTAGTTAAAGTCAGTATTCAACTTACCTTATCATTAGAATCTATGATATGAACAGAGAGTTAAGATATCTTGATATTTCTAGACCTTCAGCTCTCACTACCCTGCTTGTTCCAGGGGTTCCTTGTACAATATTGTGTTCCCATATGTTGGATTTCACTGTATTTTAGTGAAGTAGTAGGAAAAACCTCCAAAGCAATATTCTACTGGACACTAATGGCTAGTTAGAGAGAGAAAAAAGTGAAAAAATATTACCATCTGATTGGATTTTATAGGGATCTCTTATTCTATTCAACTATATAACATAATATATTGTGCAACAGTGTATAGTAGATGCTCACTGTTGTATGCAGCCTTTCTGCAAGAACCATCGTGCATGTATAAAACCGACATTTACACCTGCATTCATGCACATTGTAATTCCCAATTTCTGATGGATATGAAGTCAGAATAAACACTGAATATGCTACTTATTTTTAAAGCCTTGAGAGTATGGCCCGTTACTCCTTGGAGGTCATTTGTTAGTTTACCTAAAAGACAGTGAGTGTCTTTGGACAAATTTTATTAAGCAATGTTGTATTCAAAAGTTGGAAGGCTCTATTGTTAGGACACTTGTGTTTCACACCATAGCAATGGTACGAGGTCGGCCCTCCTCCTGTCTTCTGGCTTTCTGGCTTCTTCTTCACGCAAGCCTTCCTGACCGGTGCGCAGCAGAACTACGCCAGGAAGCACACCATTCCCATTGATCTGCTTGGGTTTGACTATGAAGTGATGGAAGACAAAGAATATAAGCACGCTCCTGAAGATGGTAAGTGCAGTGACAGAATGAGTGGGCTCATATCCGTGCACTGAACAAAAACAACATTCGTGCTTACTTTCCTCAGCTGTTAAGAAAGTAATAATCATGTACGTAAATTATCCTCAAATTATTAAGAAAAATTTATGGAGAGACAGAGAGCAAATAAGTGAGCCAGTGAGAGACAGAGAGAGACCGTGCATGCACAAATAGGGGAGGAAAATAGTAACAGTAGATGAAACTGGATAAACAGTATATGTCCTTTGTACTGTTAGGAGTTTTTTGCAAAATCTTGTAAGTTAAGAATTATTGGCCGGGCGCGGTGGCTCACGCCTGAAATCCTAGCTCTCTAGGAGGCCGAGACGGGCCGATTGTTTGAGCTCAGGAGTTCGAAACCAGCCTGAGCAAGAGTGAGACCCCCGTCTCTACTAAAAATAGAAAAAATTTCCGATCTGTTGCAATATGAGCCTGTAGTCCCAGCTACTCAGGAGGTTGAGGCAGGAGGATGGCTTGAGCCCAGGAGTTTGAGCTTGCAGTGAGCAATGATGAGGCCACTGCACT